AATTTCTTCTGAATACTCAGGAACAAGCGTGTATAATGATAAGTTGTGGAAGAGTAGTATTTTTTAACTTGCTAAAAAATTTCACTGTTTGACTCGTCTGTCAAAATCTTTTATGCGCATTCAAACACAAAGGTCAACAATATTCAACGACTGATTTCCAAGTAAAGCTGAAACGTGAATATGCTTGTCTTTTGCTTTTTACGAAATATTTTACATTGTTGCCAACCGATGTTGCTAGTTACTTCCGGGATATTGCAGGGTTCTATATTAACTGCAATTATCTTAAATAAAAATGAACTTTCTATAGCGCTCTTAGATTTGCTCTGAACAGCTTCACCGAGCACCAAACTTCACTTCTACATATCCGTCCCCATTTTTTATTGCTATGAATTAAAAATAAAATTCTCTCCTTAATAATTAGCTTAAATTTCTAACAGATACCGAAGTAGAGACGTTAGTAAATTATATTAAGCTTGTATAGAATTTTTTGAAAGCCTGGAACACTAAAAAATGTTGTGGTGGGCTCAAGGTTGCAGATACTATAAATAAAAAGATCCAAGCACTAATAGAAATATGGGATAATATGATAGATGAAAGAAATAGATAAGTGGATGAGTATGTTACTTCCAATGTACAGTTATAAAGGACTAACAAATTTGATTACTGACATCTGTTTGTACAAAGATCTTACGTGAAAAGATGTAACAGAAGTTATGAAAATTTAAATATAATTTTTATTTTCATCCTAATGTTAAACTGTATGTTACTGTTACAATAATTTTGCATATAATATCGTCTATTAAATAATTTTTATTATAGTTTTCTAAATAATTATTCCAAATATGATATATTAAAAAAGAAGATAAATAAATTAAGGAATAAATTTTAAAATGTAAATAAAATAAAAAGTAAGTAAAGGATAAGTTTAAAAATAGAAAATTAAGGCGAGTTTAATATTTATAGGACCAACTTCAATTTTTCCCTAAAAGATTATTTCACAATGTAAAGCACAATGGAACATATGTTATATGAAATAAGACGTACATTATTGCAGAGTATTACGCCCTCAAGGAAACATTTTCAAGCTCGTAAATTTTAATTTTGTAAGCTCATAATCTTCTATAAAGAGAACACGCCACTACTAAGTTTACATTTTGTAAATATAAAACGAAAATGTACTAAATTAGAAATGAGGAGATTTGGCGCAAAGACTTTTTCTTAGAAAATGTTGTTTCGTAAATATTTGCAGTTGAGAGCGAAAAACATCACAGATCAAACAGAACGCTTATTCTGTGTACTTTTCAGCATGACGAAAACTTGAAATAAAATTAATGTAATTACCAGTATTTCTCCTAAATGATTTCCCGTGCACAAAATATAATGTATTTTACGGGAAATTATAGTTATATTATATATTAAAAGGGTTTTAAAGTTACAATATATAATTTAAAAATTATTAATTGCAAGTAAAATAACAATTTTTTAATATTTTTGGATGTAAACAAATAGCACTATCTTTCTGATACTTTTCTTTAATTCATATGTCGTTTAACATCTTCTATTGTAAAGATAAATTGCTACTGAATGCTACTGATTTATCTGTACACTTTAGATTAGGTTCCCTATCGGATCTTGTAAGTATCATTAAATAGATAATTAAGATAAAGGAGATAATTTATACGGTGAACAAACAGTAGTAAACAATTTACGAATTTTACGGTAAATACCTTTTCACTTTTTTAAACAATGATTATCACAATATAGTGCTAATAATATGTGTTGTACTAATATAATATCTTAGAAACGATAGAGATACACAGAGAAAGTGGAAAACTTCCACGTGTAATTCTTAAATATACGATTGACAGTTTAAACATTCGCGATAGTAAACGTAATGATAATATCGTTAAAAGTCAAGTTAAACACTCAAACATAGAATTAATATGGAAAAAGATTGCGAGCGATTATTTCTTAAATTACAAAATATACATATGTATCTATTTGTAAAACTTCTAATGACATTAGCAATATATTCACCAAGTATATAAGTTTCTGTGTTCTGAACAATAAAATAATAGTAATAAAGTAATAAGCAGTGAGAAGATTTTTAACAATTACAACACAATATATTATATAATATCATATTATTCATATAAAATCAATGTCATTTTGGAACTTGTATCTTAATTAGTTTAAAGAAATATCAAGCGAAAAAATATAATTAAAGAAGTATTACGCCATTCCTTTACGAATATTCTCCCTATTTAGAATTTTCGATTATATAAATTTATGCTATTTTAAGTAATCTACTTTCGGAAAGAGAAGTAACTATCGAGAAATTATAAATTTGTATAAAAATAAACATTTAAAAGGATAAAGGTGAACGTACCTTCTACATTCGTTCTCGAAGCGTCCTCCTTCGTGTATATACAGTTACGGTTGCACAGTATAAATTTCAATTTTAAGGGAACTCTGATACGTTTTTCACTAATCAAACTACGAATTTGGAAGGCTATCACTACTTAACTTCACTTATTCTACATTTGTAATAGAATTTGTGCAGAGATTCCGTTTCGGCAAATGTGTTTTAGCGTCCCAAACGAGCTAGTTCCGCCATTGGCATTATTAGTTCTAAGAATCGACCACAGGGGGTGCTCAAAATCGGCAATAGAATTACCTCCAAAATTTAAATTGTTAATTTTGCCCATTCGACAGTAGGAAGAGAATTAATAGATGAAATATGTTTCAAGAAGTAGAATTATACAATGAAAAATGGATACAACGTGATATACTACGTACAATTTATATTTCATATTACGTATATTTATATTGTTATAGTCGTTGCTATAAATTACGGATATTTATCTATACATATACGTATATGTCTCCGTAAAAATATTGATATTTACAATTTGTACAGTTGTTTAGAACTAAGAAATATCATGATCACATTATATCATTACTGTTATGTTCTTAATAACAATAGAAAGCATTTACATTACAATTTATGATTAACATATATTAACTTAGCTTTAATAAATAAATGTATACCTCTAACATGAAATTTGTATTTCATATTTTTTTAATTTCTTAATATACAAATTTTTCGTTGAAATCACAGCAATATTTATTGAAATTCTCAAGGGAATTAAATAACGCATAAGTAAATTTCGATGAATTTAGGAATACCGAGTAGGTGTTTATCTTTTTACGTTTCTTTGATGAAATATCAATGCGTTATGCGTATGTAATAAGATTATTCGTCAGCTTCATTTTGGCAGTAGTCCTTTTCAGTTAAATATTCCTAAATTCATAAAAGTTTCAATTGTAATTAAATTATATCAGAGAAAGTATCTTCAGCGCCATCTATTAATGTAGTAGACAATATCTGATAGAAATTGCTTCCTCACAAGATAAAGTTTAAAATGTATGTAACTTTTCGTAAGAATAAATAAGGAACATAGTCAATATTAAATTCTACTAATAATATACACGATATATATCCTAGTTCACTAGGACATTCATAGATAGTTCATTCTAGTTCCTTCCGCAAGACGATGTCGGCATATTTGTTTTATTTGAAAAAAGCACTTTTTGAATAAACCAAAATGGATTTAATGTATTTCCTAAATTCGTACGGTTGGGTTGATCTCGACAACGGTTTAAGGAGAACTAGACTAATCTAATAGGAAATAACAGAAAATTTCGAATGCGAAAGTCGATCGTTCGCATAGCGTTCGAGCATCAACTAAAAAAAATTACGTAGGAAAAGAGACACTTCTTGCTTCATATAATCGGAAGTATATACTTTGTGGTATATTTTGTAATTCTTCTCTTAACAATATTCTACGAGGGAAAATAAGGGAAAAATATCATAAAAATATCATAGGTTCAAAAATACTTTAGTAAAAAATTACAACAAAAATGCGGAATAACAACGGACTGATTTTCCTTCCATTCAGTATAAGAACAGATTGGCGCTATTTACCTACATTAGTTCCTTTCAAAGCGTCATCTGTTCTTATAATTATTGGACTAACATACATAAAAACTTTAAATTATTACATTCCAAATTGATTTCTTTCAATTTCCGTGAATTGTAGATCAAATTCTTTGATATTAATTTCTCATGTGTATTAACTTTTATCTGGTAAACCTTTTCTTTTAATGTTGTTAAAAATCCAGTGACGTGATGTTTGGTGATTTTGAAAGCCAATGAATTGATTCTCCTCGATTTATCTATGATTAAAGATAATTCTCATTTAATTATTATCATTATTTTGTATTTCTGAAATAACATTTTTGTAAAGTATTATTATATTGTGTTATTGTATTGTATTATTGTATGATATTTTTCTCTTACCTTCAGTTTTTTCTCGTAGAATATGCTGGCACAGCTTTGTGGGAAAGACATTTTGTATGAAAAAAACTAACTATTAAGATCCCTACACACTTTCAAACGTGCCGCGATGCACGCAGCGACACTTAGATTTCAAGAAATCTGCATCGGTTTCGATTTATCTCCACATTACCGAATGTTCTCAGTTTATGATGCGACACCAACGCAGAAATACATATGTTGAAATGTTTGGTTATTTTTCAATTCCAGTATCAATATTAATATAATAGAAGGTATGTTCACAATAAAAAAAATAATAATTTAAGGCTTAAAAGAAATGGGCAAAAACATGGTTAATTGATAGAAACAGATTTTCCAATTCCGTGTTATTAAAAGAATTAAAAACGAATGAACTGAGTGATCTATTAGAAAAAGTACGCCTAAAGATTGAAAAACAAAATAAAACGATGGGAGTCTGCTTTACATTATATTTGTTATCGGTGCCGCCCTCTACACATTGAAACTTGCACCTCAATCGGATACTAACGCAGGATTCTGATTTCTGTATCGATAAAAGCTGTTTCTGATGCCGATTCTCCGATACCGAACTACATTACAAGATGTATCATGAAACCTAGGTGTCGAAGCATGTCACAATATGTTTCAATGTGCATAGAGGCCTTTATATGACGTTAGTGTCTATTTATATTTGTTTGTGGCCATATTGGCGAAACATAAAGGAACGAGTAAACACTAATTTTATTGTTAAATTATTTTACTTATTTGAAAATCACAATCATCAGATGTTCGTTTGGTAGACGAGAGCATCGCAGCAGGTGGAGTCCACCACCTCCTTCTTAACTATACTTGTGTTACTTGCGTCACTGTGTGGTTTGTGCCTGTATTTCCATTATTTTCTATACAAATCTGTTTTGCAGTGCTTCTGGGGATTTTACAGTTTTTGCAGAAAAGTTCGTTAAACGTTTTCCTGAATTGTCTACTCATCGTGCAATATAGTATGAAGTTGATAGCTGAGTTTACAAGCGTTAACATATCTATAACATCACCTGAAAATTGACAAATTCTTCTGTTAATATTTCTTACAATATTAGTAAATACTTATATATATATATATATATATATATATATATATATATATATATTATATATCTTATATTACAAAAAATATTTTTCACGTTTTTTATACGATGTGTCCGTTTTATCTGAAAACATGTACAATTCATTAAATTTTAGTTGCTTGAAATTTATGTTTCTCGCTTTGGTCTACTTTGAGCCAATAAAACTAGTAGAAACAGAATATCGTTGTCAATATTATTTGTTTCTGATTGTTCGTGTCTCCACTGTTTAGACAGGCTACAGGTTACAGAATATGGACTTATACCATTTTCAAAATAAATCATTATACAATTCCATTTTTTTAATAGAAATTTCATTGTTGATTGAAACAAACGAATGTTTTAAGATTTAAATTATAAATTGTTTATAAATAAAAAGATCACGTTAAAGTATGTGTTTGTCGTTTTCTTAACTTGATCAAAACATGGACTTTCATGACTTTCAAAATGAATGATCTATGTTGTTACTGATACATTATGAGTCAGTATTTTATTAATTTTAATGGAACGTTATTATTAATGAAAATTTATTTATATTGTAAATAAATTGTGATAATCGTGAATATTGATAATCGTGAATCCCTTAATAAAGCTGTCAAAATGTTTCACTTTCATTTGTTTTCCTGTTGAAGGTTATCTAGTGAATATTTCACGCGCTTTTACATTTTTCCTAACTGTATGGCGCTGTTAGTGCTGATCAATGGTCTATACTCCTTTGTGTCAAAGTGACGATAACTCTCTTTCATAGAGGTAGAAAATCAATTTTTGTGTAAAAAATTCGTTTTCTCTCTTCGACTATATATTATTTTGCTATTCTATCAGACATAATGTTGATAAGAAAATTAATTACTAAGAAATTCCAGGTAATCGTCAAGAAAATATCCGAGTTAATTACGAAGTTAATTACTAAGAAAGTATTAAACAAACGTAGAGTAATGAATATTGCAAATTTATTCTCTGAATATTATAATTTGATAATATTGTATTCAATATCGTGAATGGTCTTCATTCGGTGAATAATAAATAATAATATTAAATTGTCCAAATGTTTCTTTTGTTTTATAAGGATATAATAGATGCTCAACATTTTTTGTTTCATATTATTTTATTGAATGTATGATTTTATTTTATGTATGATCCATTTTGTTCTATTGGAACAATAAAATTATACAATATAATTCAATAAAACAATATGCAACAAAAAATGTTGTACATTCATTGTTTCCCTATAAAACGAAGGAAACTTTTGGGGCAACCTAATAATTAGTCCAATTCATAGAAATAAATTTTGTACTAATTTAAGCAGAATAACATATGTTTAATTTGTTAGTGTAAAACTTAAATTCTTCTTACCATGCAAGTAATTAAAATGATTTTCGTATTTTAATTATTTCGTATTTTAATCATTCGTTGGTGAAAATAAATCTTCCTTATAGAAATAATTTTTAATCTATACATAGTATAGTACTTTCATAAAAATAACTTCTCATGTATCTATACTGGGTGTGAAAAGTAAAAAGTATTCGCACACTCTCTAGAACGGAATAACTTTGTTTAAGATTTCATCAAACGACTTAAGTTTTTTTCGAAGTCAGTAAAAAATTTTTCAACAAAATTGCGATTGGTCGAAGCGGCGAAGGGCACAGTAAAAGTCACTTTTTACAACACCTTTCTATCTGATCCTGAAACGAAAGTTTGAAAAGGACATTTTATGGATTTATGTAAGTCATATGTATCTTGAAAATTTCATCGAAAAGTCTTTACATTTATTACGGTAATAAACTGTATATGTATAACAGACATAAATCTGCGAAACGTACTTTTTAAATTTTCATGCTACAGGTTCGGAACCAAATGTTGTGAAATGTCATCTTCGCCATTTTTATCGCCACTCCGACCAATCGCAATTTCTCAACATTTTTTTTGCGTGCCATCTAGTAAGCTAATTCTTCTAAATTACCAACTTCTCAAAGCAGCTCAAATCCAGCTTTGTTCCAACGTTACAAAAGATATTCTATTTTAAATATGTATTAAATATGTATATATATATACATATATATATGTACAAATAATTTTCTAATAGCTTTTGCGGATTGAAAATTACTGCATAATTCATTTGATTATGTCTTTTTTATAATTCTTCTGGAGGTCGTTTTAAATTACTTTCTTTATATAATACGATATAAAGTGTGCTCTCAAAACATTTATTAATTAGAATCGTAGATAATACAATAAAGTATCTAGAATTTCATAATAATACTATCATAAGGCGTATCAAATACATCCAACATTTTAAAGGATCGTATTTCTTTCAATTATACCTACAGATATTAAATTATAGTATTAATTATATATACGCTTTTGAAGTAAAATACAACTTCCAGGATTCATTTCACTATGTTTATCTCTTTGAACACGTATTCAAATATTACTACAGATAATCGCATAAAAATATATAAAATTAATTATTGCATGATTTAATTAATTATATTTTCTTTATAATTCTTTTTGACGTCGTCTGAAAGCATTTTTTTAAAAATAATATGACATAATAGGTGCACGACATTTTTTGTTTTATATTATTTTGTTGAATTATGCATGATCCATTTAGTTGTATTATTACAAAATGGATTGTTTCTAACCTCAAAATGATTTTATAAGGAAATAATAGATGCGCAACATTTTTTGTTTTACGTTATTTTATTGAATTATATATTTTATAGTAATGGAAGAATATCATACACAATTCAAAAAATAATAATACAACAAAAAATGTTGTGCATCTATTATTCCTTGTATTTCCATGTACTTTGTAGTAATAGAACCTGGTAGGTAGGTATTTCAGTTTTTTATCCTGAATAAATTATGTGCGCAAAATATTATTTGTTATTATAGTCGATAAAGCATATACTTTTTTGCACTTCTCCAATTTATGCATTGGTTTCACTGTTGTACATTTAAATTAACCTGTTAACTGCGGAGTTTAGTTTCAAAAATGAGGTGCGTAGTTAAAATGAAATTTTATTGGAAATAAAAACCAGCGCAGGGCAAATGCTGCTATTATAAATTTCACGAAGTAAATAAAACAAAACGATGAAGGATTACATTTTTATTCGATAAAAAATTAGCAATTCATTGTTGAAAAAGGTATTTTTATTAAAAACTTAGAAACTGCCAAGAAATAATAAAATAAATCACTCAAAACGATTCTGGGAATAGCCGATATACGTAGGAAAATACACAAATGGGGATGCATTGGGGAAAATAATCAACTGAATTTATAAAAATCAACACACTATACGAAACATAACCGATATACCAAAGAAAATAATAAAAAAATTAAATTTTTTTTATAAAATACATAATAGTTTTACTGGAAGTATAAAGGAAACATAAAACTAAATATTATTTATATTACCTTTTACTAAAATTTCGAGTTTTTATAGTAAAAGGTAATCTTTTATTTTACACGACGAGTATATACATCATCCGCACTGAAATAAAGTTTTGCTTTGATGTATACATCCATCGAACGCAGTTATAACTGGTTAACTATCTTATAATTAAATGACTATAGTTTACTTAATGTGAAAGCAATTAAGATGTTTTAATGTTTCTTTAACACTTTCCATGTTTGTCAGCCATCTTGGTTGGTAGACTTACGGTGACAGTATGGTGCAGATTAACTATGGGCATAATCACTTTACTGACCGTTAGCGGTTCAACAGCATACGCACGTCCGACCGGCAACTCAGGTGCAGATTCTCCCTGTCGCTGGCTCTGTTTCGGTTTAGACTCTCCAATACCTTTCTTTTTGTCCATCGCGAACGGCATGTTTTTCAAATTGGTATAAAACTGTGGGAGCTTACAAAGCAACGCAACTGACGCAACTGAGTAAAGTATCTTAGTACTAAATAACAAATTATTGCAGAAGTAATGAGAAAGATTGTCAGCGACAAAAAGTTAATTAATAGGCTATCAGTCGGTAAGCATCGGCGACAAGAAGCCGATTAATAGACTATCAGTCGGTAAACGTTGGCGACAAAAACCGATTAATCGGCTATCGGTCGGTAAAGTGTTAAGTGAAAATGTTATTAGATCTCATCCTAGTGGCAATAAAAGACTACAATGTCAACAAGAATTGTTTTATTATAAAATACCTATCAATGAACTTTTTCTGACATTTTAATAATAAACTAGGAACTTTTTTCAACAAATCAAAGATAATTTATAATCTGTCTATCTACTCGCCAGACACGAATTCCCTGGAGTGTACCATTCGAGGGATTCTCGAGGCGGTGGTTTGCTTTAAGCCGTACAAATCGCTGGAGTCGCTAAAGCGTCATTTGATGAAGATATGGAAGCAAATTGATCAAAGTACGGTGCGTGCCTCTATAGATCAATGGAACGTCTCAGGGCTTGCAGCGACGCAAACGAAGGAATTTTCAAAAACAATTTCATCTAACTAACATTCTATGGTATTCTGATTGTTATTATGTGTTTTCTCATTTTTCTTTGATAAGATTTAGATATAAACAACTCTATCGCGACGTTGCCAAATTTGCAGTTTTTACGTACCCTGTATATACGTGCCATTCAAAGTTCTGAATATTTCCACTCGTATAATCGTTACACAGTGACGAGGAAGATTTAACTTATCACGAAGAACAAATTCTCAAGATTATACAGGATGTCTGGTAAGTGGTAGTACAACTGATGATTCCGCTTTTTTTTTAGAAAATCAAGTTTGAACATCCTTTCGATACACGTGCACTCAGACGAGTCTCAATTCAGCGAAGAGTGTTTGTTCTTGGAGGCAATAACGAAGATCATCGGATCACCAGTCCATAGAAATTTAATTAAAAGAGCACAATTACGTGTGCAAAAGGATGCACATCATCTTCATCAGTTTTTGAATGAATAAAATAAATAAAATAAATAAAATTGCTGATGATTAAGCACTTTCTTTTATTCTGTGCTCTCGTCATTCAGATCATCTGGAATTGCCAACTATCGGTAAGAAAGTTTACCCATACGAACTTAAACGACAAAATTTTATTCTTTCTTTCCAATCTATTTTTTCACATAGAATCGACGCCTGTCAATAACCAGACACCCTGTATAAGAAAATATTCGCGTACTTGGGTTTTTAACTTGAACTGGATAAACATAAATTACTTTGGAATTTGCTATATAATGTTACATATGAAATTTTATAATTAATCGTATCTGAATTTGTAATTAGACTGTAAAATTGCAGGTAAAATAGAGCATACTGGTCGTTGAGAAATTGATAGTTACTAAAGTTATATTGGATATCTAGTTTGCCAGATGTGCAATCAATATCTGCGTTCATATATACTTACACAGCTACTAAAGATAAACAATTAATTTAATGAGAAATTACCATCGTTACAATATGGAAATTACATCCTCTTTATCGAATATTTTAACATCCAATACGAAAGTACTTTCCTGGCCAAATTGTTTCTCATTCTGGCAATAGAAAGCTTTGTCGCTGTGACAGGTAAAAATCGTCAAAATAAATAAATGTAAAATGCTCTGCAAATTTGACTAAAAAATAAAGCTAAATTTTATAGTGAAGCTAGAAAATAAAGCCAATAGAGTTAAATTCCAAAATGTTTATCCACGATTGTACAGTCAGAGGATTCAACTTCCAGTCAGACTTTCTGTTGATCTTTTATTTAGAGCGATAGAAAATAAATATTCCATGAGTTTTGGCATACTGACCTAACATCAAGTAGCAAGTGGAGAAGAATCCTGGACCGAGAAGCACGCTGAAAAGTCCGAGTATTCCCTGTGGCAATTCTGTGAGTAGAAAGAGCAGCAAGACTGCTAGCAGCATCATCGTAGTTCTATCTGTTTGTCGCTCTTTGTCCCCTCTTCGGCAACTTTTCTTTTTTTCCAGCTGTTGTTCTTGAATATTGGTTAACTTTCGCCTCCTTCGCTTTGCTTCCAATAGAACTTGCAGAAGCTTTAAGCTGACGACCGTTAGGACGAGACAAGGCAGAAGTTTTATTACCACGCTATAAATCCAGAAATTTAGTTCCTTCAAAATGTCATGATTTTCTGCCATTTCCGTCAGTCGAACAAAGTAAAGGGTAGTGTTTGTTGTATTTCCTATTGAGAAATATAAAAACATTTTTCGTTGATCGAACCAAGTAAATGCAGCAGTATATATATCGATTTAAATGTTGAAAGTGATTATGATATACATTTTAATGGCTACGATAAATTTTAAAATATCTCACATTTTCGTCCCTCATTAGTAGGCTGCGGATTTTTATGCATTTATGCGAAATACGAAGACACAAAACTATACAAAATGCGTATAATATACAAAACTACATGGAGCAGCCGAGATAGGTAGAGTTACAGTTTTTAATAGGAAAACCAAATTTCTGTTTAAATTCTGCTTCGTCAGTTTTGTTTATCTATAATCTCGTACGCAAAAGGAAAAAGTGACTGACACGCTCATTAACGCCCACGTTAAACTCCTGTATTTAGAAACGTGAAACCTGAACAGTATATTCCTTTTATGACGTAGGCATAGTATTTTTGGAAATACGAACCCTAAAAGGCTAAAAGGAGATGACATTTCTTTTTTTAATGTGATATCCATATTTCACGCGTGGTTTCAGTTGAGAACACGAATTTCGACGTATCGCGTTAAAAATAAACAAACACGTCTTTCAGCGTTTTTCGAAATACATACAGGGTGGACAATATACGCGTAACTGAGTCATTTAAAAGTCCCGCCATTCTGGGACGACGCGATATCTTTCAGCGATTGTTCTATGAATATGAATTGAAAAAAAGAAAATTGTTTGAACACTTTGTCGAAGTAATTCTTTATCGAAGTAAAGTCGATAACCATGACCTTGACAATATCATCCGATTTAACTGCACTAGACATCTTCTTATGAGATTTCTTTAGAAATAAAGTGTATGCCAATAGACCAAATACAATGGAGCCGCTAACAGACGCTTTTCGAGAAAAGATAGCGGACATAGCTTTCGAAACGTGATATGTAATACGATATGAAAATACGATTGATCGTATTTGTTGTAATTGATCGACTTCGTACAGCGTCTGGAAGCGGACATTTTTCTGATGTTGTGTTCCATACATAATTCTCAAGTATTATTAAATGACTTGTATTGAAAAGACTGTTGATTTTTTATTCTGTTTAAACATAATTGACAATTGTAAATTGTTCACCGTGTATGTGTATCTTTTTTTGTCAGTATCCCAGAGTGTTTACAATTTGTTCCAGAAGGATATTCGGTATGTCATAACAGGATAGAAGCATGTTCAACGAACACGCCTGCACCTTTGGATGACGTTTGTACAAAATTACGTTTACGCGTAAGTATGTTTCACTGATAATTTTTTTTCAATAACAATGAAAATCAGTCAGCTAGGGCAGAGTCGTGTAGTACCTAAGTCATTTGTTACGTCTTAGGCTAGAGTGAGTAAAGAAAAAATTTCAAAAATGATTTTACAGCATAAATAGAGCTTAGCGAAAGAAAAGAAATTAATTTTGTGAAATTCAATGATAATAATTGAAATTTTGCACAAATGAAAATGTTGTAATTTGTGGGAAACGAAAAATTGTCGTCCAGTACCGACCGATTATTCGATTAGTAGATGTTCCAGCCTGAATGATTAATAACGTTAAAAAAATGAGATTTAGAGGTTAGAATACACGTTTTTATTCAAATTGTATTCTTACATATAGCGTGTCTGGCTTATCTCGAAACGCATAAATATCTGGAAGAACATGAATCGTATGAAAAAATGTTTCGGACAGAAAATCCATAGCATGGGGGAGCACGTACTGTACTCTTGTGTATTTGACCTTGCGGTGACCTCCTGTGAAAAACATATTACAGTTTTTAGGTGAACACCTCCGTTTGGTATTACAACATTTTCTTGTACTTGACATTCTGACGTTTTTAAAACGCTACGAAGTCGTATCTTTTGCACTATCCGCTATCAACTTAAAAAACAAATTCGGCGGAGCAATACGAGGAATCGCCTAACCTAAAAACGATTGCTCGAAACTGACTGGTTGTTTTGAAAAATTAGAAAACTGCGACCTTGCGTTTCGGCAACGCCATTTCAGTAGCAGCGTTATGAAAAGCGCCTTTACGTATCCCTGTAATGTACATTGAGTAGCGCTAGTATCGGCGAATAAGATCGAATTTCAAAGTTTACATCTCGGTAGCGAATGATGCAAAAGACACGAGTTTGTAGTGTTTTGAGAATATCTGAACGTCGAACGTAAGAATGTGTAATAAAAAATGAAATAAAAAATAAGTAATATGAAAAATATGAAATAAAAAATTTTAACCTGACCTTCCCAGGATGATTCGAGATCACTACCAAGGTCAAGTACGCAAGAACATAGTACATTCTTGTCGATATTGCGCAATTTTTTGTGTCATTTATGTTTCTCAAAATATTTGTCTGATTCAAGATAAACCGGACACATTGTATGTCACAAGGAAAATAATTAATATTCTTGTGATGTGTGCACTAGACATGTGACCAGTCATAGCGTTCGTCATTTTTGGGATACTGAAAGCCTCAGTAGCCTGCCCTGAGTCATTTTATTTCCGACGATTAGCTTCAAAGCCGCATGCACACTCCGCTCTGGCCATTTTTCTTTTTTCTTTTTTGGAATTTTAGACATTTTCTGCATGTAACGGTACAAGAAAGAAAAAACGAACATCTTCTAATTTAATTCCACTTGTCAACAGATTGAACTTCCAGATAAAAAGAATGTGGTCCGTACTGGGCGACATCTGATCGGTCGGTAATGGACGACGGTTAAACGTTTGGTATTTCGCTACAAACACGTGAAAATGTTTTTAATTGTAACGTATTAGGTTAGCCCAAAAGTCTCCTTCGTTTTATAAAGAAATAAAATACTCACATTTTTTGTTTGAATGCAAAACGATAGCCAAAGGATGACTGAAGATAAAGACGACAACATTTGGCACATTAAGTTTCACGTTTGAATAAATATTATCAGATAAAGCAGCTGCGTGCAGATAGCGAAAGACACTTTTGGGACAACCTAATATATAATATACAAATAAGATTGCAGAACTATTTTATGGCTCGTAATTACACTCTGTTAGTATACATATGGTATACACAGTGGAAAAAGACCATTTACTTACCTGGACAATAAAATATCAGTTTTAGAAAATAACTTCTAACATTGGGAATTCAATTTATACAGGTAACGTGTCAGAACAGCGAAACGATGAAATAAGCGTTAGAGCTACGAAACATGTTACACAGAATTGTTATATCCATCTGTTCGTTCAAATAAAGTGCTAATATCTTGTGAAAAATGTCAGAAATAATTTTAGTCGATATTACATAGCAGTCGGTACTGCAGGACTCTGTCCTAGACATATATAATATATTGTTCATCCTGGATATATCTCATAGCTCACGTAGGAGTGAAAAACGGGTACGTTTTTTTCTCCGATGATAACCGTATCTCCATATCGGCTAAAGCTGTAAATTCGCCAGTCGACGAACAAACTCAGCTTATTAAAAATAAACCATCACGTGCTCGAGCGTGTTCACACAGAGGTTGATAAACATAAATCACTAGAGAAACAAATACTGCGCTAGCGAAGCTGCGGCGGACAGCTGGCAAAGATATAAATCTGCATAAAGATCTGCAATCTGATAAGAAGGAACAAAAGCAAGAAGTTGACTATTTTAATACATGTCTTAGCCACTAATACATGACGTAATAAACAGTTACGATTATAATACACATATCGTCGCGTGGTGTCGATAGTGGCGCGACTGAAGAAATGTAAACTTTAGAGGAGAGATTTCTTTTTAAATTTACAAAGAAGTCTTCGTGATTCATTTCCACAACATCATAAGACTGACTTAAAGCAAGACAGAGGTTAAGATTGATAGCGGTATAAGTGGTAATTCCTTCGTCTGACGCGAAACTGATGGAATTATAAATATACCGTTTTGCATAGTAAAAATAGAACCACGGTGTAGATTTTCTATTCAATAGAAGCAAGATTGAAATATTTTTAGCTGTGCCACTGTCAATGCCACGCAGCCATATTAGTATTCTAATAGTTTAGATACGCAGCAAACAAACTAACTTATCGACGTCGTAAAGTTCCATTTCCTTAGCCTTTTAAAATTCTAGGTAATATACCGGGCGTATGTGCTGTTTTCTATTTCTTTTCTTTCTCAATTTCTAGTTTAAGTTCGAAACTGTGATCGGAGACGATCGCAGCATCTTTGGTCAGAGCCGAATGTAACGCTACGATCGATCCCAGCCACAATGTGGTTTATCCCTTAATTACAGACTACTTGTCCCTGAGAGAAATTTGAGATCGTATTTCATTGATAAAATCTGACTGAGTTTGCAAGTTTCAGCATTTCAGTAAACCGTAGAAATCCATAATAAACAAATCGTATATATCGGTAAAGAAAATCTGTTATGTTCGATTCATTTCTCTGACATAGTAGCGATAAATTAACTTTCCGAGTGATTTAAGGAACGAATAGTTTAAACTGCGTGCTATTAAAAAAGTTTTTGATAATTCTCATTGACTCGTAATTCGTTTAATTGATTTTTAATTGACTCGGAATAATTTTTAAATAATTTCACTTATCGCTTTTGGCTTTTTATTAATTAGTTTGCTTATAAACATAAATATTATATATTTTCATGCGTTGTAATTCTGCCAAATAAAACGTACTCTGAGTATTTGAAATTACAACTGTGTTGCTTGTGTTTCTACTTTTGATTGGATTGAATTTTCGTATATTTATTTATTTATTCGTAAGCATAAATGTTTCATTCGCATTTATTGTAATTTAGCTGAGCAAATATTACGATTTTTGAAATTTATAATCGTGTCGTTTCTCTTTTTACTTTTGATTGAATTCGATCTTCGTGTATTCGATTATTTATTTGAAAATACAAATATTTCATTCCCATTTACCGTAATTCAACTGAATAAATATTATCATTTTTCAAAATTGCAATTGCGTCACTTTTATTCCTACTTTTCATTCGATTGAATGTTCATATCTTACTTCTGACAAAGCAAAA